ACTCATGTAAAAGCTATGACAAATCGAGATTGAGTGGTAATTAAGTGTGTTTGCCACTCTCTCCACTTGGCTGCTGAACATTCTTTTAAATCACTTTCCAAACATTTAGATTTTTTAATAAAAGAATCTCACAACTGGTTTAGTTGCAGTTCTAAGCGTCAGACTGAATATAAAAAATTGTATGAAGTAATGAATGAAGCAGCGCCAACAAAAATTGATAAATTAAATGGAACCAGATGGTTGGCACGTTTTAATGCCATAAATAAAATATTGGATCAGTGGGATGTTCTAAAACTGCACTTTTAGCTAACCAAAGATAGAGAAAGATGCTATACATCACAACAACTTTTTGAGATGTTAGATAATAAAAAAAATTACCTGTATATGGTTTTTCTGAAGAAAAGTCTGAGAGAACTAACTACCCTTAATACAGCTATCCAAAGTGACCAAGCTAATTTTTTTAAATTAATGGAAGATCCTGCACTTGCTCAGGAATTACTTAAGTATTCTTATACCTCCAATGCGCCTTGAAAAAGTTTTTGATAAAGATATAGTTTCTTTCAATTTCAAGGACTACGTCATGAGCGCAACCATTATCAATTTTGGTTACTCATTTCATGAAGCATAAGTGGTAATTGAAAGGAACGATGTATCCTGTGTCCAAGAAAGGTGTAGACATTTTTTAATTGAACTTTGTTACCAAATTCAATCTCGATTACCGTCCAACATTGAAGTTCTCGAAAAAATAAACTTATTAACTCCTGAAAACGCGACGAGCCAAGTTAGAAGACCTGATATTACAACTTTAGCTACCAGCTTCAAGTCATTAATCAATAAGGATGTTGATGCTACTGTCAGTGAATGGAATGCTCTTCATCGAGTAGAATGGGAGCATCCAGAAATAGCTGAATCTTTTTGGGTTGAACTGTCTGTAAACAAAAATGCCTTGGATGAAAATCGGTTTGAAAGGATATCTAAATTAGCACTAGCTCTTCTTCCGTTGCCCATTTTCCAATGCTGCTGTGGAAAGAGCATTTTCACTTGCAAATCTGATTAAAGAGAAGTTGCGAAACCGACTAGCAATTAGTAGTGCAGATTCCATAATTAGGCTGCGGTTCCATCTTATGAACAACGGTTGTATCAGTTTTGTGCCAAGTGAAAATATGTTAAACAAATTTAATGCTAATATATGTATAATACTAATAAGGAAAATCGAGAAGAAAATTAAGCTATATTGAATATATTTGCCGAAATTAACCCTTTCAGCACCAGCCACTATTTTTACATACTGTAAGTAATCCCAGCAAGTTGGATTCGCTCATTACCAGCGAACGTACGGTGTACGTCTGCATACCGTATACCATCGAACGTACGACGTACGTCGAATGAATATATAGAGATAACTAGCAAGAGTATTATATTGAAAAGGTTTACGCTGAAAATGTAAACAATACATTTTATTACAAATTTTTTAAATATAAAACAAAATGAGCATAAACCAAATAATGTATTTTCACCTACCAAAATTCTTAAAAAAGGAATTAACGAATCTGACTCTGTCGGTCAATTCAACAGTGTACTTTGTTGAAATTAAATAGTCCCTTTGGTCAAAATATTTTAATACCAAAATATTTTCTTTTCTGTTTGATGTCTATTCAATGCAGAGTCTTAAATGTTTATTTGGACAAATCGTGCCAGTCAAAATGCTTTCCCTATGTAGCAAGTACTCGACGAGCCGTATACTTCTATACCAATAATCTGTATAAAAAGAATAGCCTAAGTCCAGTAAATTTCGACCAAGATGTACTACTATTCTTTCTAATAATGACAGATCTGGGGCATTGGCATACTGAAGAGCAAATTGTTGTTGTCCTAGTCCCATATAAATTTCAAAGTCGTACATATACCCGTCAGAAGTACAGAGAGCAAAAATTCTGATACCAAATCTAGTACGCTTTGACTTGATATATTGTCGGAAATGTATCCGTCCTTTGAACAACATTAGCGAATAGTCTACTATGACTTTTTTTGCAAATCGTTTAAGAATGACCTGATAAGACATAATCTATCATTTGTTACTAAAGCATTTGGACCAACGAAACTAAAAATTTTTAAAATAGATAGAAATTGATTTCTGCTAAGTCCCTTATTACGATATGTTGATATTAGGAACTGTACTCCAATACATTGATAATTGTGACTTCTTATCAAGTCCCATATTTAGTAAATAACCAAAAACATTTTTCGTCTGTTGTAGTGTTACATTATGCCATTGTAGCCCGTGAATTTTATAATTTAGCTGCGGCTTATTATTAAAATATAATCGGCTCTTAAATTTGTGCATCGCACAATAAAATTAAGTGTTTCTTCAGATAAAAACATCTACAGGCCTTGTAAACGATACGTCTTCATGTGGAAAAACCTCTGTGTTTGGACAAGGAATGCCAAAAACTTCTGGAACTTGAATGGGAAGTCTATCTTCAATCGGATCACCTATGACATTCCACCCAGCCGGATTGTTTATAGATGACACGTTACTATAGTCTGACATATTTTCTGTCATCACTATCATCAAAACTTTCACATTCACTACCTGAAGTGATATTTTCTAACAGAAAATCGGAATCTGAATCACTCGAGTTCATTTTAGATACTAAATAGTAAACGAAAAAGACGTTCATAATAATCTTTATTTGTGGTGGCGCAGTTTTTTTGTCAAGAAAATTAAAGTTTACATTATGAAACAAACTTTTATAAACATACTTATAGGTAGTTTTACCAAGCTCTTTGAGATGTACCTGTTATTTCCATAAGCTAAGAATGTTAAATAAACATTAGTGTTAAACGATTTATTTAGTAAACGTTTTTTAAGTCATCAAGAAAGCACTGATAATTTTTTTGTGTGTAATCCATAACTCAAGAGAAGGTAAATAAACATTGTCGGCTGTCTTCTCGATTAATTTTTACTTGACGTACGTCGTACGTCCAAAAGTATAGCTTATTGACGTACGTCGTACGTTCACTGGGGCTGAAAGGGTTTATAATTAATCATAATTCTTATAAGTATTATTATATTTTATCAAATATCTTCTTATTCTTATTATATTTTTATGTAGGTACCTATATAGTATATAGGAGACAAAATATGAGAGATCAGCAAATAAAAGTTGTTGATATCCTTTACTTATTATGCTACGTTCTTGATATATTATCTATCTATCTATTCCTTGCGAATTTGTAAAAATTATTTGGCATTAAATAAACTTCAGGAATGTAATTTTATTGTGATGCACTACATGTTTTGCGCATGCGTAAAAATTATTTGTATAAAAATATAATTCCTAATTTATTCGCAAAAATCAGCAAACAGACAAAAAAAATTTGGGGATTTTTTTTCAAGAGGCCGAAATTTAGGGGATTTTAGAACTTTGATTGGGGAATTTCAGCTGACCGATCTGGCAACCCTGGCCGTGACTAACAGCTAGCAGTAGTATTTTATAAATCTTAGAAGCAAATTTCACATACATGAACAAATAATAATAATGCCGTGACAACAAGAAAATGAAGCAACGAATTCTCGTAGGGTGGCGGCTTCGCCGACCGGCATGAACACAGCTCACCCACTCTGTCAAGACGTTTCACGTGTATATAACTTTTTGAATTGCGTATAAGTTAGCGTGTACCTAGACACTGTGTTTTCTAAACTATGGTACTGCATTAAAAAAAAAATTCAATATGCCATGAATATTCAAAATACCATGAATATAGGCAAACATAGATATACTCAGTAAATCCAGAGAATGTCATAAATATATTTTGGCAGAAAAAAACTTATCGTGGGTATATGTTTCATGTTGACCTTGAATATTTCTGCAATCTTCCTGTCATATGCCATGGCGGATATATCGTATCCATGGATTATAGGAGTATGCAATTGAGATATGCATTGAATATTTATGCAATATTTTTGTGCTGATGTTGCATCGTCTCGTAATACTGTATTCATCTCTTATTACAGAGTTGCCAAACTACTTATTTTTTTTGTGTAATTAGATAATGATGCCTTAATCTTAAATAAAATTATCTCTTTTTAGGTGTAGATACCAAGGTAACGTATGATGATAAAACTTGGTCATTTTATATGAAATGTTTTATGGCTAATTTTAAGTTTAATTTATTATTATTTTATATTAAAATTTAATTTGACGGTTATAAATTTCCCAACCAAAAGAGGCACCTCTCTCGTTTTATTAATTCTTTTAATGTTAAAATACACAGCTTATCCGTAATGGATAGGTCATGATAAGTCAAATTATTATTAACTCTTCTCTTTGAATTTTTTTAGTGTGATTTTCCTTAATTTGATCGAAATCGCTTCACAAATAAAGGAGATATTAATCCTTTATAGTCATATAGACAGGGGCGGCTTGTAACCAAAATTTTGGGGGTTCACAGTAGCAGAATATAGTTCCCGGTACAGATATAGGTAAAAAACTGTCATTGTTTTAGAAAGGTATATTATAAACTTTCTAAAACACTGAAAGTTTTTTCATCTGATACCTTATATTCTGTCACTGTGAACCACCCCACAAGCCGCCACTGCATATAGACCATAATCCCTATAGTCTCATTGTCACCCGGCATATACCTACACCCTTTTTTCAAATTAATTATTCGTATTTAATTATTATCATTTGTGCCGCCACTGGCTAAATAATTATATTGCGATAAAACTGTCATTAGGTCGAACACGAATAATTATGCCTTCCTGAAAATTTACTCCACAAAAGGTGTATCTTTTTAATCTATATAGCAGCAATAGTATCATTGTTGTGTAATACGCGATGGCATCATTTGAACAATACACGCATAGATAAAAAACACACGTCATTATTTCAAATGTCGTTCCAAATAGCAAATCGTTAATTAACCAAAACTAGAGGATTTTAATATGCCATCATATTTATTTATTCATTAAGTTTCTTTTTTTTTTTAATCAAATGAATGTTAGCTACGTAGAGCGTAGTCAAGTAAGTACAAATTTTTAAAAAGCCTGTTTGGCAAGTCATCATACATGTATGTCAACGAAAATAAGCAACTTCAATTTAAAATAGTTATTTAAATGAGAAAACCAAACTTGGTAGATTAAAAAAAAATTAAATTAAAAATTCTTCATGAAAATTATTTGGAAGTACAACTTCTTCTTCAAATGTAACTAATCTAGATTTCGGTGTATATTTATTTTAAAATAAAAGTGTTTGTAAAAATCTAACTTTGGTTTTTCTAATTTAAACAATATGGATTTTCAACAAGCAGAGACCGAAACAATCAAGAATTTAAAATAGTTAATACAAATTCAGGGTTCATTTAAAAACTTCCCACTGGCAATATCTCCTAATAAAAAAATATCATAAATGGTTTGGTATAGGTATATTTTGATTTCAAGGGGTACAACTTATCACATTTGCAAATCTCATACGTCATTCTCCTCCGTCACACTAGTCAATACAAAGAGTTTGCCAAGACGAAAAACTACTAGACTACGCCATTTATTTATAATTAAGCCCCTATTCATTCCAGATTTTGTTTATGATTACGCAGACAGAGCTATCGTATTGGCTGCCGCATTAGAAAGAAGGAGATAGCTGATAATTTGAGTGGGGATGATTTGTGCGAGTATGTTTATTTAAGGAGCGAGCATGCGTTTTATGAATTAATCAGTATCTACGCCTACTAAGCTTGCTTTACACTGCTGTCACACTTCAAAATTAATTACGTAATTTCCTGAAAAACACTATACAACTAAAATAGTTGCAACGAGAAAAATACATTAAACTGACAATAACTTTTGTGAAAAAACACTCCATAAGGAGCGCTTAATAATATTACAATCTGATCAAGACTTGATCAATGAGAAATTTTGTTATAACCTAACTTAACTAGGGTTGCAATCTTAAAAACTAAAGTTCTACTCGCTAGTATACCTTAGGATCTGATGACTTAGTTACACTAAACTAACGTGTAACACTAAACCGCACAATGCTTTGCTTTGTTATTAACACAATCACTTGGCTAAGTCAAAAGGTTTCACTCTTGAGTCTTCTTGTCAGGTTCGTGTTGTCAAGAATGCCATAGATTTAAATTGGTTTGAGAACTTGTTTATACAATACAATTTTGTTATATATGTAGATAGGCTGGAATGCCTACCAAGTAACCAGAACATTTTCTTGAATTTTATATCTAACTCTTGTCTTTTCTTTTTAACATGGACCTTCCAGCGAAGTCTTGCAGCTAATGTAATACCCATATATTTTGCCGAGTTAGCATAAGGGACCTGGGCATTATTTATGTTAATTCGTATTCTTTGACCATTTTTATTAGTAAAATTAGTATTTACAGATTTGTTTCGTTTAGTTTATACGCCATTTTTTGGTCCAATTATTTATTTGATGTTTGTAGTTAGTGCAGGGCATAGTGGCGCATTCGTTTGCAAAATTGTTTTAATTCGTAATTTTTTTTTAAATGTCCGGAAGGCTTGCCTAATTATAAAAGTGTAAGATGACACTTGATATTTGTTGATGTTATTGTTTAAACAACGAAAAATTAATTAAGGCAAAAAATGCATTTTTTGCAATGAATTAATTTTTTTATATTCTTTAGGATATTTTAAATAAAAAAAAGTCCCTACATCCAATATCGTATCTTCAACCCTTTAATTGTTATGAATTTTTTAAAATCCAAAATTGTCGAAAATTCTAATTTTCTTGAATTAAATAATATACCTTAAAATTTAAAATGCTATAATTTTAAATTTTTTACCGAATATTCAAACTATAATAAACAAAATAACCCAAATACATTTTCAAAATTTTGTTTGTTGTTATGTTTTTTTTTACGTTATAACAATATGCTTCCTATGCGCGTGTACTTTTAGATAGAAGTACTTCTATCTTCCAACTTAATGTATAAGATGGGTAAGAGAAAGCCCGATAACGCGCTGAATCAATTTTTTGCTGTTTTTCAGAGGTAATAAGTTTAAAAAAATTATTATTAACATTTTTCATAACACTGTTATATTTGCCGATTAATAGTTTTGTATCATGTGATTTTTTTTTACTTTTTTAGATACTTTTGATAACTTTTTTATTTATTAAAGTTAACAGAAACATTTATTTTTAACATTTATTTTTATTCATGAAAAAATTATTGTCAGATACTGCCTGAGAAGTAAAATCTTCTTCAACCTTTTTTTTCAATACGATAAAAAGGCCAAATGCACTTGTCGTGATCCGTGAAAAATTTCTACCTGTTACAATGAACATAGTAGGCTTACTGGGGTTATAAAATTTTATGATTTCAAAAATATCCAAGCCTTTCTCCATTTAACAAAAATAAGGAAAAACATTTTTTTTTTCTAATATTGAGAGTAAGTACTATCAATATGAATTTTTTTTATGATTTTCAGTCTTTTGCACTATGAATACAAATAGGTAAAGGGACTTATTTCGTATTTTGAAAAAATTGTACGTTTAACTCTTCTTCTATTTTTTTTTTCCTGTCATAAGCAATTTTTACAACCTTCCAAATAGAAAATTCAACCCTACCTTGGAATTTTTGGCTCATTTTGAAAATTATTTTTCAGTTGTTAATCAGTCTTGCTCGATTCTACATCTACTGGTTTACTTTGCAGTCGTGTAATTTTCTGAATAATAATGTCGTTTTCTTTAATTTCAAAAAAAATTATTATTATCTGACGACAAAAAGTGTTTATTTTGTGATCATGGCGAGGCGTTAGTGAAGTGTCCAAAACCTGTTACATATTTAAAATTAAAAAATGCAACTCTTCATCGAAACGATAACGTGACTGTGCGATTTAATTTGTTGTTTAATGAAAATACTAGTGAACAATCTTTTTCGTGGAAAATTTATGTAGGTAATTTTGTTTATTATAGTTTGAATATTCGGTAAAAAATTTAAAATAATAGCATTTTAAATTTTAAGGTATATTATTTATTTCAAGGAAATTAGAATTTTCGTCAATTTTGGATTTTAAAAAGGAAATTAAAAGGCTGAAGATACGATGATAGGCGTAAGGACTTTTTTTATTCGAAATATCCTAAAGAATATAAAAAAAATTAATTCATTGCAAAAAATGCATTTTTTCTGGATTAATTAATTTTTCGTTGTTTAAACAATAACATCAACAAATATCGAGTGTCATCTTACACTTTTATAATTAGGCAAGCCTTCCGGATATTTAAAAAAAAAATTACGAATTAAAACAATTTTGCAAACCAATGCGCCAGTATGCTCTGGTCTAAGTTTATTTTCAGCCTTTTCATGATCTTTGCCTATAGCTAGGATGGCTATTGTGTCTTGTTCTAGTTGAAGTATGTCACAAGTGTTTAACAGATATCAAGTGGGTCCCAGAACGCTCCCCTGTGATACTTTTGAATTAATTTCTTTCAATTCAGAGTATACTTCATCCAATATCTCTGAATATGGCTGAATAGACTTCTTTGTTTCCTAATGCTTTTTAAATCACATTTGAGTTTTTATGAATGGTTTTCTCTAAAGCCGCACTGGTAATCTGGAAATAGTTCCTTTGTTCAATGATGGGTTTCAGTCTTTTTATTAGTATTTTTTCAAATAGTTTTCATATTATAGGAATAGAGACATTGGCCTATATAAAGAAAGGTCTTCCTGGTTTGGGGATCATATGACTTCAGCTACTTTCCACAACCTAGGAACATACCTTAGTTTGAATAAGGCATTGAACAAAAATGTTAGTGTAATTATTATGGGTTTCCGTCGGAAGTTGTTTTAAGATTTCTCCTGTAACTGGTGTTAAGAATACAAATATGCTTTCCCAATGTAATTTAAAAGCCTTTTGTACTCTCTGGAGCATTATGATTAGTCAATACCAAATTATAACTATTAATAATCTTTGTAACAATACTCTCCCATACTCTCTCATAATAACTTGACAACTATGTGGATAATACCGTAAATGTCTGCAACTCGATTTTTTGTAAACAAAATTAGTCTAGTAGTTGTTTGTGGTAGCCGTTGGCCGACAAAACTCAATAATACAACTGGATAACGTTGACCATACAAGGCTATCTCAGCAAGTAATAAAGGATACGATTCTAGCCATAACCTCATACAAATTTGAAAGAAATTTTTAAATTCAAATACCAGCCCGAGAATTCTGGAAACAGACAATTTAAAAATCAAGGAAGTGCCCGGTGCTGGAGTCTTTGGACAAAAATAACGATTTTGATGAGTCTAGGAAAATACACAGTCATACAACACCGTGCAAGGGAAATAATAAATTAGCAAGTATCTGGCAAAAATATTACCTTCTACTCAGATATCTCTAAAGGCAATTTTCTCATCATAAATCAAATTACGACTGATTAAAGACTGTCTAAAATACTTAATAAAGCTAAGTCGTCAAAACAAAGTGACCTCAGCCTGGGTACCAAGCCACGAAGAATATTAGGACAATGAACAGACCCATAAACTAGCCCGAGAAGGCTATTATAGACCACAAACTGTTCCATGGACTTGATATGGCATTGTACAAGGCAGCCATCAAATAATTGATGCAAAAAGAGTCTTAGGAATGGTGGAACAACTATACAGTATTAAGATCATAAAGAATAGTCACCAACCAAATTCACGAAAGATCTATTGAATCAAAAACGACAAATCGTTAGAATAACAGTAGGTCTTCTTACCGGACACTGTTGCTTAGGAGGCACATGATTGTCATCAATTCAGCAGAAGAAGCAACGTTTTGCAGGTTCTGTAAATTCACATCCTGTGCCAAGTCAATCAGATTCCGATTCTAGTCATAATTTAAAAAAAAAACTGGATTAAGTTTCGGATCTAAACCGATTTTTTCACTTCACTTTTTTCATTATATTTTCACGTCTATGGCGCATCGTACTCGAAAATTCGAAAACGATGTCAAAAGGGTGTGTTGAAACACTACAACATTTTTGCACAAGCCATTTGTTTTTTATTTAATTTTTTTACTCCTCACGCCGTCTCTGGCCTTTATAGATTCAACCAAAGGTGATTACGTCACCCTTTCTTGCTGTGAACGATCTAGTCTACTAAAGCCAATAAATAATCTCACGTGAGTCATAACTCGCCGAAGATTGGTCAGAAGCTAATGAACATGGATGATGACGCAATCTGACGCAAATCATAAGCCATCTTGGCATCACGGTAAAACAGAAATATTTATCACCTCACCGAAGCAACTCTTTTCTATCTAAAACGGCTTTAGTTAAAAAGCCACGCGCCGTTATGATGGCATTTAGGCCAAGCGCAAGTTGAGTTACAATTTGGTGAGGTGTGAGTTTTTGAGAACATAGATATGAATGCAACAGTAAATGTTCGCAGGGTGAAGTGACTCAGTTTGCAATCATTTCTATGTTTGACAGAAACTCACGGTAAGTCACCTAACCTCACCTCACCAAACTGCGTCTCAAGTTGCCCTCGGCCTTAGTATTAATGTCTAAATTAAATTATAAATCTTCTGAGTTGTCTCGTTCGTAAAACAACTCATAGTGTAATAAGACACGTACCAGACTTGTAACGTAAAATACTATTGAAGGTTACAAAGTAAACTAAATACAGAAAATTTAAAAAGAACAGGAAAATTTATATACTGTTACTAAAGTCTAGAAATTACAAATGTCCTGGACATGTGGAATTTATGTGCGGACCCAATAAACCAGAAATTTCTAGTATCTGGGGTTCAACAGTAACTAAATCAGTAACTATACAGGAAGACCTTAATTATTTATAGTTTACCGTTCCTATTTAATAAGAAGTAAAATGTAATGCTTAGGCATTCTTATTTTCCACTAAGTCTACATTATCTAACTCTTACAAAATTTCTATTTTGTAATCACAGCACAAACCAATCTCGAAACCTTTACCTCTACATTTAAGCACAAATTTTAAATTTTTAACCCTGAAATAAACGAAGGATGTCTTAAAGGTAGCTTCACACCTACCTGGACCTTAAATCCTTTATTCGTTTAAAACGATTATATAATACATTTTCATTCAAGGCCTTGAGGGTCAAGGACTCCTCAAAACTCGACTATGAATTTCACCTCTAATACACTGGAACAAAGTGGCTCTGAGTAATGCATCTGTCTCGCATTCGGAAGGTAGCGCGTTTAATCTCCACTACTGCCTGACCTGCTATAAGGGTTTTAGAGGTTTTCTCATAGCACTTGGCAATAGGGTCAGTAACATCCTCTCACCCACTTTTCCACCCCTTCCCCAGGTGTGGTAATCGACAGAATTGATGTCTGATAACCTTAAAAACTAGTTATGAGAACCTAAAGAAGGCCCTACACGCTGCGATTTTTGTGAGAGTTGATCCAGTCCATAACTCAACGTAAATTGCTCGATCTAACTTACATATGGCCTCTCCTCTTTTGTTCTCTTTTATCTAATGTGAAGATGAAGAGTGACATTAGCTAATTAAATCTTGCCTTAAAATCAGAACTATACGTTTTAGCCTGTAGGCCCTATCGGAGCGTGTAGGGTCTGTAATAAACAAACAAAATAACTTTAGAATTATTAATTTTTATAATTTAATACCTATTTTGTACCCCATAAAATTTTAACAAATTTCAATTAGTATTAAAATCTTATGACCAAAAATATAAAATCAAACTTTAATTTAGTTGTTTATTAATTTACCTTTATATGTTAATTTACATAACTTCTGATTTATATGAGCTAGGTAAATGAAAGTATAAAATTATATAGGAAGAAAACATTTTATACCAAATATTTAATCGTACTCTTAATTTTAGTAATGATAGGTTCCTCATTCAAACAAGTAGTATATAATTCAAAACAAATATCCGAAAATATTAGTTGCATTCTTACAAACGTACTGAAATGTTTAAAATCGTAAGTACTTATTTAGTTAATGTCTATTATCATACCTATTTTTTGTTTGATTTACATTATTTATTTTCCCTAACACACTTGTATATATTTTTCCTTACAAAATGTCCGTGTATAATAAATTAAAAAATAAAATGTATCTTTTTAAATTTTTAGTTCACTATTTTGGTGTTGTGTAACATCTGTATCTTCAACGCTGAACCATTCTTCATTAGCAATAAAGAAATCAGAAAATTTTTTGGATTTGCTCCTGCCAAAATTTTCAAAGGATTAGCGAAAAGAAATAAGGACGATGAATCTAGTGAAGAATACGAGGAGTTGTATAGAAGGGAATACGCTCAAAGTATCAACGAGAAACTCAAAAAATTAGCCAAAGAACGACAAGTTGAACTTCTAGATTTAGAACACAGCAATAAGCATGAAAACGTTGAAGGCTTCTCCAAAACTGGTTCAAAATTGAATGCTAATCAAAAACCTTATCAGGAAGAAGATGCTAAAATTGTAAAAATTAAAATTATTAACGATGATGATAAAAGAACTCACGATGATAGTGATTATTCTAAAGTGTTACTAATGGTACCTACTGGTGGTTATAAAAACCACAGACATCCTTATTATGATAACGATGATGAATATTATAAACATTTTCAAGGATATCCTGAATCTTATCAAGAAGAGTTTAGTAATGATCCGCCACTTTTCCATCATCAATTTAAATGAATACTAAGCAGTAGGTAGTTAAATATTTTTGTGTTAATATGTTATTAAATAAATAATTTTTTTATACTTATATGCGGTTCGCTTTATTTTGAAATATAGCTTGGCCATGGAAGTTTCACACATTATATAGCCATAGTGTTAAAAAAAACTACTAGGTGTCGTTAAAAAATGATGTACTAAATGAAAACAAATAACGACGGTGAGCTGTCAAAAATATTGAGCCAATTTTAGCTTTTCAACTAAAAAATATTGTATCCAATTATTTTAACAATTGGTCTAAGATCCGAAGTAAGGTTGACATTCATGCACCCATCTGTTTAATGCATGAAAGTTTCTTTTTATTAAAAAAAAATATGTTTATAAATATACCGCAAATGGATTACCTAAGAAAATATGGTCCAGACTATTTACTTTCTTAAAGTAAAAAAAACGACACCCTATAAAGTATTCCCCAGATGCTTTAACTATGCCCAAACTTTAATTTGCTTACCGCAGGATGGATTAAAGCTTAAGTTTAAAATTTGGTTATTTTCTCTTCATCCGTTTTTGAGTTATCTTCAAAATTCGAAATTTGCACTTTTCCTCAAATATCTCGAATTAGGTCCATCTTAGGGAAATCAAGTATAGTGTAAGAGTCACTTATTTTTTGTTCAGCGTTGTGTTATGTTCTAAATAAAACTGTTTAAAAAATATAATTAATCTTGATATTTATTTTAATAAACCAAAGCCAGATGCTTACAAATCAGAAGTTGAATGTTACCCACTACATATTTTGTTAAATACGAATATCGATTCCAAAATATGTTAATTTTATGTTTGTAAGGTTATGTTGTGGAGATCGAGCATGTCTACCATACATTTTTTTTTGAATAATATCAAGATTTTATGAAAATTAGTCTTAATTATGGAAGATGAGCGTAATCCCAGCCGAACTTTTAACTTGGATCATTTTGAGTGGTTCCAGCAGCAAACTCAATCGATCACGGCCACTGAAGGAGCCGTAGGGTTTAATCATTCACAACCAAATGGCACACACCTAGGTGAATCATCTTTCAATATGAATTTAATGATGTAGACAATGAATTCCACGATAGCACAAAACACATTATTGATGCAAACGTTAAGAACCCAAGCAGATAACACAAATGTACGAAACTATAATGTTATGCCAGACTTTTTAAAATCGATCGCCACATTTAATGGAGAGGATCTCGCCTCAAGCAGGTTTTGGTTAGAGAGCTTGGAAAGTACAGCAACTTTACATAGATGGCCAGAAGAGTTCATCCTTGAGACGGCCAAAACACACCTAACTGACACTGCGCATCATTGGTATCAAGTTAAACAAAGATCAATTAGTAACTGGCAAAGAATTCAAGAATGAATTTAGAAGCACATTTGTGCAGGATAAAACTTTAACGTCACTTTGGAAAAATATGAGTGTCTGATTACGAAGACCTAATGAGGATCTTAGCCTCTATTTTCATGAAAAAGTAAAACTATGCAGTCAACTTCACCTCGGTTTTGAAGAGATAAAGGAACAGATAGCAATTGGACTAATATCCTGTGAATTAGCTTCTATGATTTTAAGTAAAACCCACATTGATGTTGATGACTTATTTCACGATTTAGTACTTTATGGGAGAATCAATGCAGAACAAAGAACTAGACATTCCAGATCGTTACCACAACCAAACATGGGGCAAACAAATGCCCTGAACCAAAGCGGGAGCGTGGATCTTGCTTCATTTGTGGAAGCCTTCAGCATCAAATTAAAGACTGGCCTAAGAACAGAACAGAAAAATCAGAAACACATTTTTCAATTCATTCTATACAAACATCTCTGCCCAACCCATTTGTTGTGAATATAGACTATGAAAATGAACTAAGTACCTATTCTATTATTAGGTTAATTGATTCAGGGAGCCCTTTTAGTATTATAAAACATTCTTGTGTTCCGAAAAATTACCATTTAACTCCCAATGATGACAAAAACATTTTTACTGGTATTAATAGTTCCAAATTAGACATTATTGATATTTTTGAGAAACAAGTTGTTATTTCTGACAATATTAGTGTTTTAATTGGGTTTTTTGATGTGTCTGATGAAACCATGGCATATCCTGCCATACTTGAACGTGATTTCATCTCATTGCCAGATATAACTGTTACTTTAGATGATAAATTCTAAATTTTGAAAAATTTAGGGAGTAAGTTAAATTTTATTTATTCTATAATGAACATAGAAGTAGAGGAATCTGTTAACATGGGAAAAATTGTAAATTTAAGTACCGAACTGCCATCTAGTGTAAAAGAATTTTTTTTTGAAATTTATAATGGGGAATATATTAATAAGTAATAGATGTTATCAATCACAATATTTCTATAAATATAACACTAAAACATGAACAGCCTATTAGTTTTCACCCAAGGAGATTTTCTTTTTCAGAAAAAGAAAAATTAAGTTATTTTAGACGAATTTTTAAATAAAGGAATAATCGAACCAAGCTCTTCCCCCTATGCTAGTCCCATTTTTCTTGTTCGTAAGAAAAGTGGGGATTTAAGATTATGTGTAGACTTTCGGGAAATTAATAAAATTATTACAGTTAGGGATAATTATCCAACACCTCTTATTGATGATCATCTGGATAGGCTTAAAAATAAAAAAGTGTATACTTGCCTTGATTTAAAACATGGGTTTTATCACGTCAATATGTCCAAAGACTCTGTAAAATACACGAGTTTTGTCACTCCTTTAGGATAATTTCAATATTTAAAAATGCCTTTGGGACTTACTAACTCACCACGAGTGTTTGCTAGATTTACTAATGAAATATTTAAAAAACTAACCAGTGAGAATAATGTACTGTTATATTTAGATGATATCCTGATAGCAACCGAGACTTATGAGGCATATTTAGAAATTTTGCAAGAAGTTTTCATGTTACTTAGACAATATCAGTTAGAAGTAAGGTTAGATAAGTGCTCTTTCATGCATCCAGAAGTGACATACTTAGGGTATAGTCAATAAAAATGGTATACGTCCTAGTCGTGAAAATTTCAGTCAGTATTGAATTACCCAGTACCACGTTCTAAAAAAGAGGTTCACCGCTTCGTATCTTTAGCAAGTTATTTCCAGATATTTATACCTAACTTTTCCATTATTGCAAAACCCTTTAATGACTTAATCAAAAAGAATGTTGATTTTAAATTTGAGACAGATGAATATAATTCTTTCGAGTGTCTAAAAGAAAAACTGTCGTCTGATCCCATTCTAGCTATATATTGTTCTTTATCAGAGACTGAACTCCATTGCGATGCCAGCAGTAGTGGTTTTGGCAGTATTTTGCAGCAGAAACAAGCAGAAGGCGCTTTTAAACCGGTGTTTTATTTTAGCCATAGGACAACACCTTTTGAGAGCCGTTATCACAGCTTTGAACTAGAATGTTCAATCTAGGACATGAACCTATTATGATTGTCATTATTATGCTTATGTAACTTATTCTTATGAACCTATTATGATTATGTCACTATTATGCTCATGTAACTTATTCTTATGAACATATTATAGATTATGTAACTGTTATGCTTATGAACCTGTTGTGATTATATCAATATTATGCCGATGTAATGGTTATGATACTTTTGAGATTTCATATTTATTTTGTTCCAATTTTAAAGATTATTCTCTGTACCTTTGAGTTTAGTTTAAAATTAGGTTTTCTATTGTAATTTGACCGAGGACGGTCAAAATTTCAGGATGGACGAACTGTAAGAGTCACTTATTTTTTTGTTCAGCGTTGTGTTATGTTCTAAATAAAACTATTTAAAAAATATAAGTAATCTTGATATTTATTTTAATAAACCAAAGCAAGATGCTTACAATAGGGGCAAAATAATATAGAATGACATCATAAGTAACTTTTATCACGATTCCTATAGTTTCCTTATCTGTACACAGAAAGGAAAGTAAAAAATGGCCGAAACTTACAAACACTTCCAGCAAGTTTATTTTCGGCTTGTAAATAAAATTTATTTCGTAAGTGTATGGAAAATTTATTAGAAGTTTAAAAAGTTTTTATTTATATATAAGTTTTTAAGAGAAAATTTATATTTTTAAACTTATTAATCTTATTTTTGTATATTGGCAAAATAAAATTAGCAAAGAATTTTCTTTCATACATTAATTTTTAAAAACTTTGTATGAGTTTAATGACACAGATTGATATCTAATTTAAAAATAAGAAGTTGCAGACCCTTGCCGCAAGTTTATTTTCGGCTTACAAATAACTTACTTCGATAAGTATGTGAAAAATTTATTATAAATTTCCAAATGTTTGTTTATATTCGGGAGTTTTTAGTATGTTCTTTAACGAACATTTAAATATATTTTTGAACTATGAATGAAGGTAGGTACTTAAATTTCTTTGTGTAACTTATGAAAATCAAATTATCCGAAAATGTATTTGAAAACTTCCAGAAGGTACAAATCAGAGGCGAACCGAGGTTTACATTCTTTGTCATTGTCTTCTCATTATTTCGAAAGGAACGAAATTATAGGTGAGTTCGGGCTGCGCACTCCAGAGTGGAGTGGAGTAATTAAGCGTAAATGGAGAGCACATATGATTTTACTCCTTTGACTCTCGGAGTGCAATGTCAGTTGTTAATGTGTCATACTATCCTTCTTCCATGTACCAGTACTTATAATTCAATCGTACTTATCAGTAACAACAGTGTAAGTTTCTTCTATATTAATGATATTTACGGGAACTAAAATACGATTTTTTTACTAAAGAATCAGTCACAATTATCTTATTATCGATTTAAATTACCTTATGCACATGCCCGATTCACACTCCACTCCATGATCTCCGAACGGTCAAAAAGGAACTTTTATTTTAACGCCTTTCGTTCCCTAACGCCTTAGATACTTAGGGGTCTATTCTGTAATAATTCCTTTATATTTAACGGCCTTTAAAACTATTTTTTTCTTTACTTCTATC